GAAAGTTTGCAACTGGAATGTTCGTAAGTCGGGGACTTACTGTATTCACTATTTAAGGCAGAAGCACTATGCATGTTCCATTTATTCATGTTATTTGCTATTCACTCATTAAGTTGTTAGGTCACTTCGAATTATTTATTTTATTTTTTTGGTGTGTGCTTTTGTGCTGTGAATATACTCTTGATATATTTATTTCTTCAGTTATTTAGCCGTTTTATATTTACTAAAATAATTGCATTTCCATGTTGTGTGTACTGTGGGAGAGCAGATAGAGTGAATGCAGGGTCCAGGGAGACCAGATATAGTGAATGCAGGGGCCAGGGAGACCAGATATAGTGAATGCAGGGTCCGGAGAGACCAGATATAGTGCATGCAGGGTCCGGGGAGACCAGATATAGTGCATGCAGGGTCCGGGGAGACCAGATATAGTGAATGCAGGGTCCTGGGAGACCAGATATAGTGAATGCAGGGTCCGGGAGACCAGATATAGTGCATGCAGGGTCCGGGGAGACCGGATATAGTGAATGCAGGGTCCTGGGAGACCAGATATAGTGAATGCAGGGTCCGGGGAGACCGGATATAGTGAATGCAGGGTCCGGGGAGACCGGATATAGTGAATGCAGGGTCCGGGGAGACCGGATATAGTGAATGCAGGGTCCGGGGAGACCGGATATAGTGAATGCAGGGTCCGGGGAGACCGGATAGAGTGAATGCAGGGTACGGGGAGACCGGATATAGTGAATGCAGGGTCCGGGGAGACCAGATATAGTGAATGCAGGGTCCGGGGAGACCGGATATAGTGAATGCAGGGTCCTGGGAGACCGGATATAGTGAATGCAGGGTCCGGGGAGACCGGATATAGTGAATGCAGGGTCCGGGGAGACCGGATATAGTGGATGCAGGGTCCGGGGAGTCCGGATATAGTGAATGCAGGGTACGGGGAGACCGGATATAGTGAATGCAGGGTCCGGGGAGACCGGATATAGTGAATGCAGGGTCCGGGGAGACCGGATATAGTGAATGCAGGGTCCGGGGAGACCGGATATAGTGAATGCAGGGTCCGGGGAGACCGGATATAGTGCATGCAGGGTCCGGGGAGACCGGATATAGTGAATGCAGGGTCCTGGGAGACCGGATATAGTGAATGCAGGGTCCTGGGAGACCGGATATAGTGAATGCAGGGTCCGGGGAGACCGGATATAGTGAATGCAGGGTCCGGGGAGACCGGATATAGTGAATGCAGGGTCCGGGGAGACCGGATATAGTGAATGCAGGGTCCGGGGAGACCGGATATAGTGAATGCAGGGTCCGGGGAGTCCGGATATAGTGAATGCAGGGTCCGGGGAGACCGGATATAGTGAATGCAGGGTACGGGGAGACCGGATATAGTGAATGCAGGGTCCGGGGAGACCGGATATAGTGAATGCAGGGTTCGGGGAGACCGGATATAGTGAATGCAGGGTCCGGGGAGACCGGATATAGTGAATGCAGGGTCCGGGGAGACCGGATATAGTGAATGCAGGGTCCGGGGAGACCGGATATAGTGAATGCAGGGTCCTGGGAGACCGGATATAGTGAATGCAGGGTCCGGGGAGACCGGATATAGTGAATGCAGTGTCCGGGGAGACCGGATATAGTGAATGCAGGGTCCGGGGAGACCGGATAGAGTGAATGCAGGGTACGGGGAGACCGGATAGAGTGAATGCAGGGTACGGGGAGACCGGATATAGTGAATGCAGGGTACGGGGAGACCGGATATAGTGAATGCAGGGTCCTGGGAGACCGGATATAGTGAATGCAAGGTCCGGGGAGACCGGATATAGTGAATGCAGGGTCCTGGGAGACCGGATATAGTGAATGCAGGGTCCGGGGAGACCGGATATAGTGAATGCAGGGTCCGGGGAGACCGGATATAGTGAATGCAGGGTCCGGGGAGACCGGATATAGTGAATGCAGGGTCCGGGGAGACCAGATATAGTGAATGCAGGGTCCGGGGAGACCAGATATAGTGAATGTAGGGTACGGGGAGACCAGATATAGTGAATGCAGGGTACGGGGAGACCTGATATAGTGAATGCAGGGTCTGGGGAGACCAGATATAGTGAATGCAGGGTCTGGGGAGACCGGATATAGTGAATGCAGGGTCCGGGGAGACCAGATATAGTGAATGCAGGGTCCGGGGAGACCAGATATAGTGAATGTAAGGTACGGGGAGACCAGATATAGTGAATGCAGGGTACGGGGAGACCAGATATAGTGAATGCAGGGTCTGGGGAGACCAGATATAGTGAATGCAGGGTTCGGGGAGACCGGATATAGTGAATGCAGGGTCCGGGGAGACCGGATATAGTGAATGCAGGGTACGGGGAGACCAGATATAGTGAATGCAGGGTCTGGGGAGACCAGATATAGTGAATGCAGGGTTCGGGGAGACCGGATATAGTGAATGCAGGGTCCGGGGAGACCGGATATAGTGAATGCAGGGTCCGGGCAGACCAGATATAGTGAATGCAGGGTCCGGGGAGACCAGATATAGTGAATGCAGGGTCCGGGGAGACCAGATATAGTGAATGCAGGGTCCGGGGAGACCAGATATAGTGAATGTAGGGTACGGGGAGACCAGATATAGTGAATGCAGGGTACGGGGAGACCAGATATAGTGAATGCAGGGTCTGGGGAGACCGGATATAGTGAATGCAGGGTTCGGGGAGACCGGATATAGTGAATGCAGGGTCCGGGGAGACCGGATATAGTGAATGCAGGGTCCGGGGAGACCAGATATAGTGAATGTAGGGTATGGGGAGACCAGATATAGTGAATGCAGGGTACGGGGAGACCAGATATAGTGAATGCAGGGTCCTGGGTTTAGTAACACTTTAAGAGCTGCCGTGTTTAGGTGAGGTTAAACTTCCATCTCCTGAACGCGAAAGAATCGCGTTCAGAATAGGAATGTGTTGACTGTCGACCACGGGAAAAATGCGGCAAAACACAGCAACCGAGGTACCGTGTTTTGCCGCGTTTTGCGTTTCCCAGCGGCCTGCGGTCAGAGTAGGCTTGTGTACATGAAGCATAACACTCCCCTCTCCCCAGACTGCCAATGCTGATGTCTGCTGTGCCTCCTGTGCTCATTTCTCCAGAGTGGTGTCTCAATAATACAGGAGTTGTGTTACTGACTGGATCACCAGGTAAAAACAGAGGGGGAAGAACACCAAAGAAAGAAAAATTACGCAGCCACCAAATCTAATGATTGGTAAACTGCAATACATAACATTTTTAGTTTGGGGTTTAATACCGCTTTAACTTAGTACCACAGTGCACAGCTGGTTCACATTTGTGAACTACAACACAAGTCGCTGTGGTGCAATGCTTAGGTGCATTAAGGCTCTCTTCAAGATGAACGGCACCACAGGGTACCAAACTGTCACTTAGCCACTGTGCTACCTGCTTTTCCAAGGTAATAACTGGGTTTGTAAAGGGTTTAGGTGCACACAAAGGAGACTTATATCCATTGCAGCCATTGAGGAATATATTCAAATAAAAGTCTTTCTGCCTGGAATTCAGCTTTAACCACTTGAATACCACACATTTTTATCCCCATTCCTGCCAGGCCAATTTTCAGCTTTCAGCACTGTCGCACTTTGAATTGCGCGGTCATGCAACACTTTACCCACAATAACTTTGTAACATTGTTTTGAGACAGATAGAGCTTTCTTCCGGTGGTATTTAATTGTCACTGGCGTTTTTATTTTTTGCTAAACAAGGAAATCTTCTACTCTTTCAACCAGTCCACCCCCCACAGTTACTACCTTTTGTACCACTAGCCCCTCCCTCTTAGATTGTAAGCTCCCAGGACCAGGGCCCTCCTAACCCTCTTGTATTGAACTGTATTGTTGCTGTATTGTCTCCTGTTATATTGTAAAGCGCTGAGCAAACTGTTGGCGCAATATAAATCCTGTATAATAATAAAGGAAAAATTCCAACAATTTAAAAAAAAAAAAGTTTTTCTGTTATACAATGTTGCAAATAAGTAATTTTTCTACTTCACCGATGGACACTGATGAGGCTGCACTGATAGGTAGCATTAATGAGGCTACACTGATAGGCATCACTGATGGGCACTGATAGGCATCACTGATGGGCACTGATAGGTGTCACTGATAGGTACTGATGAGGAGGCATTGATAGGTACTGATGAGGAGGCACTTATAGGTGGCACTGATGGGTACTGATGAGGAGGCACTGATAGGTGGCACTGATAGACAGCACTGATAGGTACTGATGAGGCACTCATAGGTGGCACTGATAAGCAGTACTGATGGGTACTGATGAGGAGGCACTGATAGGTACTGATGAGAAGGCACTAATAAGTGGCACTGATAGGCAGCACTGATGGGTACTGATGAGGAGGCACTGGTGGGCACTGATAGGCAGCACTGATGGGTACTGATAAGGAGGCACTGATATGCAGCACTGATGGGTACTGATGAGGAGGCATTGATAAGTGGCACTGATAGACAGCACTGATAGGTACTGATGGTACCGGGCCTCTGTGATTGGCCCTTTACTGTGATCTGTGATTAGCTGTATCTGAAGAACACAGCGATCACAGAGTGTGCCAGCTGCACAACCCAGGGGGCATACGGGGGGCGTGGTTCTCAGATGACATCCAAAGACCCCCTTCCAGAACTGGGTGGACATGCTGTAGTCATCTTTTGTCTATCGCATGGTCAGGAAGGGGTTAAAAACACAGTGAACTGCAGCACATAGCTGTGAGCCAGCCTCATAGGACAGAATGGGATTTGTGTTTGAAATGCATTTTCATGCAGGAAGGTTGTTCGGGTGTGACAAGGCCCCAACTTCACTGCCTCCTTCACAAATGTGTTCTATTACACAAACAAGGCCAGCAGCTGACAGGATTGTGTAGAAAGTTCCTGGGGTTGTAGGATCCGCCCTCTTCAGCTCTTCCTTTGTAGGGCGAAGCACATAGCAGCACTGCAGGCATGGGGAAACTGCTGAAAGTCACACTGGTTGGGGTCTTCCTGGCCTTTCTAGGAGAAAGAATCGTGCGATTCACGTAAGTTCCCTTCTTACTGTCACAGCGAAAGATCAGGAATTGGCGGCTGCGGCAAAAAGTTTCCAAATGTTTTTTTGCATGGTACAGAGATCCGATCTGCAAGCTTCATGTGGAGCCTGAGGCAGCAGCGCAGAGGACTTTTACTATTTAAAGGGTCAGCGCTCCTGAAACATGGAGGCATTTGTGCAAATCTGCTGCGGCCATCACAGCGGGGGTCTCTTAGTTTTTGGAAAAGTGGTATTATAGAATGAGGGGGGATTTGGGGGGGGAGAGAGAAGAAAAGAGGAGATTAAAGTGTATCTAAACTCCTGCATGCTGAAATGGTTGGTGAGAACCGTCCTGTACAGGTACAAGCAGGGGCGGACTGATCATTTTGGCACTGCCTGAGGGCCCGGGGTCAGTAGTGGGCCCCATGAGATTCCCCTGGTAACTTTTCATAGGGTTTTTTTGGGGTGTGGTTTGAGTGTGGGCGAGGACACAGGGGCCCCATGATCCCCCCCCCCCCCCTATTACCCGGGGGGCCCCCATGAGTTGTCAGTCCTCCCTAGGTGTCGAACCTAGTCTGTGTTAGGCTAGGTTCGACACCTATGCAGTTTGCATGTGATCTGTTTCTGCAGTGCGTTTTTGCACATGCGTTTTTGTTTTTTTATTTCAAAGCTCTGTCATGTTTTTATTGCAAAATATTATTATTATTATTATTATTATTATACAGTATTTATATAGCGCCAAAGGGTTTTCTCAGCGCTGTACAATAGCAAGGGGGACAGAACATGAGACAAGACAGAAACAATACAATACATGAGGGGTTCGAGGGCCCTGCTCTTTCGAGCTTGAAATATGGAAGAATCTACAGGGGCAACAGGATTTTCTTGGTACCAGCAAAGACATAACCGCAAAAATTGATGGTTAAAAACCACATCATTCTATCACAGAAAACATATCAAAAGCAACAACGACAATCAAAAAGTCCATAGGGCAGCACAGTGGATAAAGGGTTAACACTTCCGCCTGGCAGTACTAGGGGCCGTTGGTTCAAATCCCAACCACGGCACCACCTGTCTGGAGTTTGCATGTTCTCTCTGTGCCTGCGTGGGTTTCCTCCCACACTCCTAAGACATGCTTGTAGGTTAATTGGATCCTGTATAACTTGTCCCTAGTATGTGTATGTATGAATGTGAGTTAGGGACCTTAGATTGTACGCCCCTTGAGGGTTAGGGACTGATGTGAATGTACAATATATATGTGAAGTGCTGTGTAAATTGATGGCGCTATATAAGTACCTGAAATAAATCCCAGCAGGCTGCACCACAACCAACACCCCTGGTGCCACCCCACACCAGAAAACTGCCACAACACGACGAAGGCGAGCCTGCAGCCAGCCAACCTCAACACACACCCCCGTGATATCCCCCCCCCAGGAACACAACAAGGGAAAGCCAAAATGACACTAAACCCATCATATAAAATGCACATGTGTTTTTGATGCGTTCCTTTTCCCATTGTGGCTAGGCAGATTTAAACACATCAAAAACGCATTCAATGTTTTTCTGCAGCATCTCCATTGAAGTCTATAGAACCAAAAACGCAACGTTTTGTATTTTAAAAAAGTCCCTGACCCTTTCCAAAGAACGCACCGGGTGAAACCGTGGAGATGTGAACCTGTCCCATAGGAAATCATGTTAAATGGATTGTAGTGCGTTTCTGCAAAATGCTGCGTAAAACGCTTAGGTGTGAACCTAGACTTGCACGGAGGACACAAAAACTAAAACTGTAATTAATGCTACTGACTGCACCGCACATGTCTTTTGTATTTAGCTCCTAGTTCCATTTTAAAGGGGTATTAAATCCAAAAGCAAACATTTATTATATTGCAGCTTACCAATTCTTAGATGTGATGGCTGCATTAGTTTTCTTTTTTAGGCTTTTTTTTTATTTTCACCTGGTGATCTGGTCTCTCTAACAGCTGTAGCAGTTAGAGGGACGAGACCAACTATTTACAGCTGACAGGGGTGCTTACAATGATCAGCTTTTATTTATGTAAAACGTTTATCCCAAAAGGGAAAAAAACTGTTAGCTGGAGTTTGGCTTCAATTAGTAAGTGTACTTAAATCTGCTAGTCCATCTAACACTCCCCTTCCCCCAGACTGACAATGGTGCTGTCTCCATTGCTCCTTCATGCAGAGTGTTGGTGAAAACGGAAGGAAAAAAGCCTAACGAACCCCTCCTGCAAATGTAGCAGAGTGTTGAGACAGGTTATTTACTAATGACGGGTGCTTACAATAATCAATTTTTATTTATGTAAAACCTTTATCGCCAAAAAAAAACTGCTGATAGGACTTCATATGTAACTGCAGTGTGAGCTTTATGTTGTTGTGGTGCACAAAAATGAAAATTCTGGTGCCGAAACCGATAGCGAAAATTCAGAATGTATGTGGCCGAAAACCGAGCAGAAACCGAAATGTCTGCGTATGTGGAGGTGGGAAGGCTCCAATTTTTTTTTCTACTTTTATGTATATTATTATTTTTTTTTTTTAACTAAGAATTTTATTGCTATCACATAGAGGATCAATAGTCAATGTGATAGCATATGAGTGACAGGTCCTCTTTGCAGGGGGGAGGGGGTGGGGGGCAGTGTGTGCAAGGAGGGGAGCAGTGTATACAGAGAGGCTCCCTCACTGGCTGTCACTATATACCAGTTTTTAATTGCAATTGCCAGCTTTTTTTTTTCTTCACTATAGCTCACAGAACAGGTTTTACTTTCCCTGGAGCTAAAGGAATTGGCCTTGGGGGGGAAAGTGACAGCTGATTCTGTAAGCTATAGTGAAGAAAAAAAAAAAGTTGGTAATTACATTTAAAAACCGTCACTGACATATAGTGACAGCCAGTCACTGTATACAGTGCTCTTCTTCTGCCTTTCTCAGCTGCCCCCCCCCTCACATCTGCAGTACACACAAACTTGTTAGTGTATTTAAATCTGGTAGTACATCTAACTCTCCCCTCCCTTCCAGACTGTCAATGCTGCTACCAATGGTGCCCCCTGTGCTTGTTCTTCCAGAGTGGAGGCATTCTAATACAGGAGGTGCGTTACTGGCCAGATCACCAGGAGAAAATAGCGAGAAAAAGCATAATAAAAGACAACGAAGGCAGCCACCAACATCTAATGATTGGTAAGCTGCAATATATTGCGGTTTTGGGTTTATTACCGCTTTAGGGACTTTGGCAGGCATATTTTACCACTGGAGTTCCCAGAAAAATGCAGCCTATTGGACTTCCCTTATAGTTAAAGCTGTGTTAAATCCACAGGAAAACTATAATACAGTATATTGCAGCTTAAAATTCCTTAGGTGTGGTGGTTGCATTCCTTTTCTTTTTTCTGTGTTTGTTTTGTTTTATCATCACCTGGTGATTTGGCCAGCAATGCACTTCCTGGGATGGAGAAGCAATGGAGACATCTATGGACAGTAGCCAGGGCCAGTGCTACCACTAGGAGAACTAGGCAGCTGCCTAGGGCGCATTGTCCCAGCCGCTGGTATCTCTATTCTCTGCCATGGCAGGATCTTGGGGGCTGCTGGGGTGGGCTACAGCCCCCCTAATTTCAGTTGTGCCGCCCCCAAGCTGGTCTTTCCATGGACACTGTGCCGAGCCACTGAGTGCCCTTCCTCATCACAGCACTTGTGGCTGGGACAAGGGGAGGGCAGTCTGGAGCAGTGAAGGCTGCAAAGGAGGAATGACAGGAGGGAGGTGCAGGCTGTGCTCTCCTCTCCTGTCAGTTGAGCGATCCTCCATAAAGAAGATGATACAGAATCACTCTTACATTAGCATGTTCAGTGTTCAATTCATTCCCTGGCTCCCTGTTGCCAAGAGATGAGCAGTCTTGTAGGAGATAGGGGGTGGGGTAATCAAACTATACAGCCCCAATCCAGAGCGATCCTGTTTAACCTGCTGTATGGAGGATCGCTGCACTGACAGGAGTGAGCGCACAACCTGCACCTCTACCTGGGAGGGAAGCTTACAGGCCAGGGAAACTTTACGCAATGAAAGAAGGGGCAAAGGGTAACCATCCTTTCTGCTGACATGGGAATGAGAGGGGAGTGCTAGGAGAAGGAATAGGGGGATATGTGCTAGGACTAGCAGGGAGGTGGGGGGGGGGGGGGGGGGGCTAGGTGGGATGTATGCTAAAAGTCATGGGGATCTGGAAAAGGTGGGAGGATTGTATGCAGGGGAGTGAAATTTAGAGGGGTTTTAGCTAGAGGAAGGATTTGGGAAATTTGTTCTAGGTGGGGGGATTGAAGGAAGAGGATTGGTGCTGGGTGGAGGGATTTGGGGGGCGGGGGGGGGGGCTGTGCTGGCAGGAGGGATTGGTGTTAGGAGAGGGGATGGGGGGTGCTAGGAAGGGGGACGTGTGCTAGGCGAGGGTGTGTGGGGGGAATTTTTGCAAGGATAGGGTATAGTGGGGGGATTAGTGCTAGAAGAGGTGATTGAGGGGATTTGTGTTAGGAGAGAGGATGGGGGGGGGGGGATTTGGGCTAAGAGAGGGGATTGCGGGGGGGAGGCGGGGAATGGGGGGTCATGCTAGGATAGGGTATAGGGTATGGGGGGGGGGGGGGGGGGGGGGAATTAGTGCTAGGAGAGGTGATTGAGGGGATTTGTGTTAGGAGAGGGGATTGGGGGATTTGTGTTAAAAGATGGGATGGTTGTGCTAGGAGGGAGTATATGTGTTAAAGGGGGGATGGGGGTTTGGGGGTTTGAGGGGATTTGTGTTAGGAGGGGGGATTAAGGGGGAAAATTGTGCTGGGGGACTTGTGTTCAGAGAGGGAATGGTGAGGGAATTTGTGTTAGGAGGGGGAATTTATGCTAGGAATGAAAGCTCTATTCATGGGAAAAAAAGAAGGTACATTTCATTTGGGTGCAGCGTTGCATGACCGTGCAATTGTCAATAAAAATAACAAAGCGCCTTAATGCAAAAAAAATGGCCTGGTCAGGAAGGGGGGTAAATCCTC